TAACAACATTTTTATTATTCGCAGCTTTGTCTTCTAAGCTTTTTTTATTAATATTACAGTATTTCATGCTTATATGGTATTTTAAAAGCATACCATACTGATCACATTATCAATATTGTGAAATTTGTGGATCAAAAGAAGAAATCACTACTATGATCTGCCATCATGATATTCAAAATGAAGAATAACATCCATATTTTCCACCACATGAACAAAATTAGTATAAATTTGTAAATTCTGAAGCTAGAGACTAAAGCAAATATATTTAGTCAAACAAGAATGATATTAAAAGAGAAGTATTTAGAATTTGTAAAATCATAATGAATATAGGTGATTATAATCTTGAACTCACAGAACTCACAAAACTTCACAAAAAAATTTTTTTTGTATTAGAATTGGACAATATTAATACTCAGGTAAATGAAAAACAGCAATAATATATATAATTTTATCAAGTATAATACTATAAATATAAATGACAATAAAATAAAACAAAATAATAAAATAATAATTTCCTATAAAAATATCGTAGCTAATATATTTATCTAAACCGACTAAAGATCTACTATATTTATTTCTTTATCAATAAAAGAAAGATTATTATTCACTTCGAATATTTGGTCTAATAGATCAACTAAACTTTGAAGTGCCATTGTAATATCACTTTTAGCAGAGCTTACGATTTCTACTTCCTCTTCATTTTTCTCAATTGAATTAGGATAATCAATTTCTGAAATAACCGTTTCACTTAATGCACTATTATACAACTCAGTTTCCACAAAATTATCTTTATAAAATTTTAACTCTTTTTTAATATTTGATATATAAAAAGAGTGGATTTGCACTATACTTTCTAATCGTGAAACTTGAAGCCACGTATGTCATCCTTCACTAAACCATTTTAAGATGGAAAAGTTTCATTCGCAATTGGCCTGGGATGGTACAATAGAGAACATAGTTTGAGCTAGTTCTTGTAAATAAGAATATTCATCCTCAACAACACCCCATCATAAAGAAGGAATTAAGTTAGAAGAATATTCAAGATTCCAAAATTCAACTTCTGCTTTATATCTAATTAATTGATCTACTAAATCATTGCACTCTTCTTCTTTATGAAATAAATCTTTATAATAGTTAACTGCCAAATTACGAATATTATGAAAATTTCCGGTTTTAAGACCATGGCTTCGATATTTAGAGTAGAGAAAATAAGCTAGAAGATATGGAGAAATATCAAATTGCTGATAGCAAAAATTGAACGCTGAAATAGCCAAGGTACAAAAATTATTGCTAGTAGGTATTTTTTTAAGCATAGCGGCGATTTGGACAATTCCT